TAAAAACTCCGATATTTAATTCATGATTGGTAGTGAAAGTACCAGCTATCCTAGATATTACTATACTTCTGAAAAAAAAAAAAGAAAGTTAATACAAGGGATTAAAAAAGAGGAGTTTTCATTCAAAATTCATAAACTTAGAAGGTTATTACACTTGGTTCAAAATTTATTATTTCTTTAACTTTTATTTTATTTTGAATAAGAGACATTTGTTTTGTTTTTTAGCCTTGGAAGCGATATAATATTTTTCATTAAAGTTATTATATATCATTCTTTTTGGCCTTTTTGTAAAAAGTATGTTTTCTTCAAAACTATCAAGGCTTGGTAGTTTTCAAAAATTTCATAAAACTTTCATTTTCATATTATTAGTCTTGAATGATGCACTTGATGAACACTTTCAAAATGGATATCTTTCCATGAAAATTCCCAGTATCTCGGCGATGATATGTTGTGAAAATAAATTTTGCGTGCTTTAATAAATTGTTTTCGTTATAGCTACCTTGTCTATACCCTTGATATTTTTCAAAAATTTCGTTAAAAATTTTATTTCCATGTTATTGATCTGGAAAGATGCACTCTGTGTACGCTTTTCAAAATGGAAATATTTTTATCAAAACTCTTAATATTTAAGCCATGATTTGTATTGAGAATTCCGGCTATCTTTGATTTTACTATACTTTTCAAGAAAATAAATTTAATACTAGGACTTCAAAAAGATGAATTTTCATTCAAATTCTTAACTCTAGAAAGTTATTACGGCTTCATTCAAAATTTAGTTCTTCTTTAATTTTAATATATCTGGTCTAAACAAATCCTCATTTGAAAAACACAAAAAAAGCCTATTTCACAGTATATCTAAGTGTTCTAGCATGTAAGTAATCAAATATAATAAATATCTGTCAACAAAACAAAATGTTTCTTCATTTAGCAACTCTACAAAAGATATCATGCACTTGATATCCATGAATAAATTCACTCTCCACTCTGTGATGGAATTTTGGATAATATAACTTTTGACCCTATCGTTTATAATCTGCCACTACGTCACGTTATTAGGGAGAACTTTTCAATTTTGACAAATTCTAAAGAACATATATATTTAGCTGATTTCTAATCCTGGAAGAGATGTCCTGTGAAAGTAAGTCAAAAACATATGGTGAATCTCTTATTGAGCTGATTGTTTTTAGGATAAAGATATAAAAAGTTCGTGACAAAATATTTGATTTCTGCATATTATTTAATTCGATTTATCATGTAAGATTTCAGAAATCAGACGAATGGATTAACTTAGAATCAGTTAGTACTTCTAATGAAACTTACCACTGGAAATGTGGTCATGTACTATGATTAATGAATGCTTTTTAAAATTTGTTCAGAGTGATGTATATTGATCTTTTCCTATCATAATAACATCGTTTGTAGATTGATTGATCTTCTTGCGAGTTTTTAATGAATATCTACTTATAATTATGAACCGTTGATCTGTGATCATAATCCGTTGAACTTTTGTGAATACATGTTACAGTATGTGTGACAACAGCCTTATTTAGAGTTTTTAATTTCATTTACATTCATTGATGAGACTTGCATGCAGTTCCAAACAAGCAATATTTGTGAAAGCGTTTTACATAAAATTCAAATTATATATAAAAGTGAAAACTATAATCATTTGTTAGTATGTTAGTAACACTATCCGTCTTTGTAAAATACATAATATAAGCCTAAATACTGAGTATACAATTATTGTCACTCTTACACAAGAGTTATGTTTTTATATAACTTCTCAAACAAGGACATGTCCTGATTTTACTTATTACATACACAGCTGTTGTCTCTATAAGCTACAACTTTTAAACCATAATTATCTCCAATTATTGTCAATAACTGATTTTAAGTCACTGCATACTTTACTTAAATATGATTGAGTCACGCCTATAATTATCGTAGTCACGTTCTTTTAAGGTCATTGGATACATATTATAGTTACTGTCGAAACTGGGTGAGTCAATACTCTCGTAACGTGTCGAAGGTAATGTTTATTTAATTCGAAATTAGGTGAAGGTCATGTTTGTTTACTTCCGCCGCCATATGAGCATCTTAACTACTAACAGCTGTTGTTATTATTAAGCAGAAGGTTACACAATGAACTCTTTATGCTGTGGCCACCTCAGGTATCGAACCCCGAAGTTATAAGCCCTCAAGCTTAGCATTGAACCACTGGAGAGTTTTTGAGATCGCAGTTACACACTTCTTGATGTATGTATACATAAACATCTTAAAATAAGAACATATTCATGATTTTGTACTCATAAGTTTTATGTATAAGTACAAAATACTGTACTTAGCAAGATACACTAATATTCATATGTTTGTTTAGATACTCTGAAAAAATTACTTATTTTGTTGTGTTTTTAGCCGCGGCATAGTGGTTCATAGAATGGCTCTGTGTTTTTCTTCAAATACAAACATTTAGCTCATAGCTCCATCTTTTGACCGATTCGAGATCTAATTACAGACGCTGCTATTGAGGTTTCCCTCTTGTTTCCTTTTGAGCTGGCGGTGGGGAACCTCTTCTTTCTCCCTAATCGATCAGCTCAAAATTCGAACACTACATATAAATAGCCTTGTGTAGGTGTGCACGAGTATTCTAAAAATAGTTCACTACGAAATGAGAAATGACATTGTTCTCTGATTTGCTCTACGCCCAGGAATGCTGATCAGGGGTGATATTCTTTAAAATACTCAGTGACAGGTGGCAAATCTAAGATAAAATCCAGGTTTCATGGTCTTTTTTTTTTCACCAAAATTTACATATTTTGATGAGAAGAACTACAACTGCAACACCCCCAGATTACTGTAGTATGATAAAATGCCATTATTTCTACCATTTTTGTTGTTGTGTTTTTAAATACATAGTTTTACTAAAACCTACCAGAGTATCCAAACAAATATGTGTCTCTGTGATTGAAATAATTTTCATTCTATTTACCCCTCCCAGTGGGTCAGCGATAAATTTATAAACTTACAATGTTATTCCATTGACTGCTGATTCGCCTAATAGTTGAATGCAAGTGTGCTGTAAACAGTGTATGGCTCGCAAAAATTCCACGCGCGTAGAAAGCATCTGCAGTCAGAGGATTAAAATCGGAGGATTGATTACCCATGGTAGACAGAACGTAGATAGCTCATTTTGGCCTGGTGGTTAGAAGGCTTGACTCGCAATCTGCGTGTCGCATGTTCAAATCCCGTCACCGACATAACATGCTTACCCTTTGAGCCATGGGGACGTTTTGATGTAACGATCAATCCCACTTTTAGTTGGTAAAAGTAGCCCATGTGTTGGAAGTGGGTGGTGTTGACTAGCTGCCTTTCCTCTACTTTATCACTCTTAAATTAGGGACGGTTAGCGCAAATAACCCTCTAGTAACTTTGCGCGAAGTTCAACAAACAAACTACACAATGAGCTATCTGCGTTCTGCCCACTGAGAATCGAACCCCGGATTTTAGCATTGTAAATCCGTAAACTTCCCGCTGACCCACCGAGAAACAGCAAATAATACACTTAACACAAGTTACAATTATCATGTTAACTGAAAGATTGTATCAGTAATATTAAAATATCTAATCGAAAGGTTGGCATTTTGAATGAAATGAACTACTGTAACATTGAAATTCGTGTTTATAGGGAGTGTTGTTTCATCATCAGCCTTCCTACGTGACGCAGTTACTTCTGAAATTCTTTAAACAAAAAAGGGGTATCTTTTTAAAATAATTTATTAAATCTTAAAAGGCAAGAATAAATATCGTGATTTTTTATATAAATCGTGATACTGCCTTATTAATTTTTGTTTTAATTTTGAACTGATAATCTAAGGCAAAGGAAATTAGTCAACAACATCCACTGCAACCTTTGGGCTACTCATAATTGACCAAATAGTGTAACTCAAAGCATAACCACAGCCCCAAAATGTGTAGCACGTTTTTACGTCAAAGGGAGGCGAACGATGAAATCTGGACTGACAGTCCGGACATTCTAACTTATGAGCAACGCCCTGCCCAACATAATACTAAGTAGTAGACTTTGCAACATTTAAAATATAGAAAAAATAAAATTAAAGCACAGGTGCGAAACATCCTGCCATGAAAAGTAGCACGAGAGGAAGTCCAGAAACAAACTATTAGTTGGAGAGGTGACCATATACTGTTATTTTCCCCAAAGTGTAGTTACGGTAACTTAGTGGACAATTTTTATGTAAAGTTTGACCACCCTTCCTTTTCTGTTTTATTTTTAATTGAAGCAGTAGGGTTCTGTTTTTAAGATATTTTTTTATTTGTTTATCAAACTCTTATTTTATGAGATTTTTAGACAGTATCTATCATAGTTTCCTTTTACTTGTCATTTTACTACTAAAACGTTTTGAATAGCAGAGACATTGGGCTGTTAATTTAATTATATTGTTTTAGTCCTAAAATGTAATACAAAAATTAGCATAAATTTATTATACACAGAAAACAAAAGTTGAGGATCGCCTAAAACGTTGTGTAATAAAGTATATTTATTTATAATAAATATTTGATAACTTTATTATTTTAAATGTTGCACGTTAGAAAATTCGGTTGTTTTGAATTGTTTGATAATGTTTTTCATATCAGATGTAATTTTGCATATATGAAAAATCTACTGAGAGAAAATATAACATTGAGTGTGAGTATGCTTGCAAGAAACGTTCCTTGTTGTTAGAAAATCTTGTTGTTGTTGTTTTTTTCTAGTGTTCGTGATGTTAAAAGTACCCTCACAGTAACACGTTTACACTCGACGTCCTCCTTTTCATGATAACCATCTAGCTGAGGCCTTGTTCATCGTTTCAAGGTCATCTCCGTTACGAAAGGGAAAAACCTATTATCGACAAACATTTTTCAAACCGGTTATAAGAACCAGCCTATCAGTAAGCACATATAAAAAGAGCGTCTTCTGCTAGTCCTTTCTACTATGAAAAAGTTTGCTGCTATCAGTCTCTGAAAGTGTACTAATTCATATAATCGAAGTGCAAATATCTTGTTTCGTGTATACTAAAAGAAATATTTTGTTTGGAAAAGGTTTACATTCTATTTTGATATTACAATGAAATTACTCTTTTGGCCAGTTGTGTTGAGTATTGAAATTCTTTTCGTAACAAGACCAATAACGTCGCTATGTCCTCCACAAGACGATACCTCTTTTTGTTTATGTACTGAAAGCACTGACACTTGTTTTTATTCCTGCACAGCTAGCTTCGGTGCTTCATTAGTTTCTATGGGCGAGTATTTCAATCCATGTCCACGAATTAAGCTTTCTCTGACAGGAGAAGCTAATTTTTTACCACATGGTTTTTTCACTAAATTTGGTGATATGAGGAGTTTCGAATTCACCTTCTCAGGTTTGAAACTAGATAGTTTGACTGATCCATCTCCTGGCCCTTCAGTTTTTCAAGATACCAGCGTCTCTGACCAATGGTCTCTTAATTTCAACTGGGTTGAAACAAAAAATAATTGGAATTGGTTAGATTTCTCAGCCTTAGAAGTTGGAAATACTGCTACAACAAGTTTCTACTCTAATATATCAAAGATTGATAATATGAATTCAGATTTCTACTCCGCCTTTGAGAATGCCAACTTAGATTCCATAGTTATTGGACTTGCTGGCCTAAAAAGTTTAGCTGATGTTCCTACAGGCAAATATTCAACATTGGTGAACATGAACTTTGAAAAAAATGAAATCCAGGAAATCAAACGCTCACACTTTCCAAGGCCAGCGACTAATTTGAAAAGTATCAGTTTAAGGTACGTTCAATATCACAATATGCTTTTTCAAAAAAAAAAAGTACGAGTATTGAACAGAAAGAAAATGTAAACGAAACTGTTATTGCTAAAATACCAAATCAAGTTGAATGTTCTATACAATTAGAACCAAAACGTAGATAATGTTTAGTACGATCTTTAACAATAATCTTTAAAAATTGGTGTGGAAGTGTTTTTGAAAGTACTAATTTTTCACCATTAAAAGTAAATATTTCCTTTCAGAAACGATCCAGTTGTTATCACTTATATTTCCACAAACTCAAAATTTGGTCTTAATAACCCGATTTTTTTTACTTCTCAGCTGGAACAAAATCAGAGTTCTTCCAGAAAATTTGTTCACAGAGATGCCAGAACTTAAATACATAGATATTTCCGCCAATCCAATATCGGTGTTGCCTGAAATGACTTTCAAGCCTATTATATCTTCCCTGAACCGTCTCTACGTAATTAGTAAGTTAAAGTGACATAGTAAGATATTTGTTTGTTTGTAGTTAAGCACAAAGTCACACAGAGGGCTATCTGTGCTCTGTCCACCACTGGTATCGAAACAATGTAAAAAGAAAGTATACCATGTAAAATGTCTTGTCGCATTTTCCAAGTTAATTATGAATACTGTAAAGTTACGTACATCGGAGAAAGTGAATAACGTCAAAATGTAAGAAATTGGAAACATAAATTTGTTGTTAAAAAAAGGTAAAATAATGGAATACACTTGAAACGATAACGTATTATGAAGTGCAAAAGTGTTACATTTTGAATTTGTGTTAGTTATTAAAAACAAACCAATAGATGGCATTAGAAATTGTTAAATACTGGGGGAAACCATGCAAAGATACACCTTCATACAACACTCACTTGTAGTTTTTCTTCGCTCTATTTTTCATTTCTAACTATGTTTTCCTCTCGGAGTTCCCTTATGTTGCTTTCTTCAACTTTTATTGGTGCTAAGCAGTACTTGACTCTTGAGGTGTAGGAGTCAAAATAAAATTGGGTGGAGGAGAGGGGGAGGCAAGGGTTATCTGATCAAGCAAAGCCAAGTTCCAGAGCTCTTAGGTTCTGAATTACATTTGATGAATTCTCCTGCTTTTTCTTTGCCCCCACCCCAGTGACTTATACCGCTAAAAACGGGGTTTCGATACATGCGGTGGGCAGAGCACAGATGTTCCTTTATGTAGTTTTGTGCTATATAACAAACAACAACAATTTTTCTTTAAAGTAATTTTCCTAATTTTGATGCATTTTTACTTACTACATCACTGACCTTGATGTGTCCATTACACTAACCCACCCCTTTTTTTTTGTGGTCGCTTTATAATCAATTTAATCATGCAGTACATATTCCAATCATGTGATAAGAGGAACAAAAATGACTTCGTCTTTGATTACCTCTCAGTATATACCAAGAGAGAAAAGTCCCTCTAAATTATTGTAGGTGGTAGTCCAAACGTCGAGTTATCGTTGTAATTTTTTATGTTTGTGTGTTTCTGTCATTTAGAGTAAGGTTACTGCTTTGTTTTCATTACCATTTTCCAATAACTTAATTTGCAAGTAAATACACTGAAATAAACATAAATACATTTAAGTTAGATTAATATTTTAGTTTTATAACTTTACTTTGTAATATTAGAACTTTTACATTAAGTAATTTAAGTCACAATGATTTTTTTTCACAGACTTAGCACTTTCTTGTGACTGCCAGCTGGCTTGGATTCTACCTTACTGGGAGACTAAAGTTATTGATAGTGGTGGAATGGCTTGGCGACCTAGACGTTGTAAAGAACCCACCCATCTTGCCAATAAAAGTGTTGGTGAGCTTACAGTTGATAACTTGAATTGCGCAGATCGAGTGGAGGCTTAGATTGTTCCGACTGTATAAGAACCTTCTGTCAACTGCTACAGACACGTCTTAGAAGATAAGGAAGAAATGTGTGTGTGTGTGTGTGTATCATTCATAATATCATAAATACAATGATATAATACGAAAATAAACCTAACGTTTTCTATCAAATTAATGTATTTTTCGTATGATATGCGCTACTTTTTCTTTTATATGTATATGAAATCATAACAAAACGAAAAACTAAGTACCAAAACCATTGGTTTTTAAAGCGCAAACATACACAATGAGATATTTGTATTGTGTGCACCGCAGAGAATTGAACCGCAGATTTTGGCGTTATAAGCCATCAAGCTTATCGCTTGATAAAAAAAATTAAAACTATTAATTTAATAACTTATAAGGTATAACTTCTGTTACATCAACAGTCTCGTTACACCTATCGTATTTAACAAAATACATTGCTTGTCTGTGATGTTTTCTCATCACATTCTCAAAATAAAATAAAAACAAAAGGGTAATGAAAACTTAAATAGTGGATTTCTGTTTTGCATTCTTGGGGCATTTTCCAATAACAATCTGTGTTTGTTTGTAATTAAACACAAACCTAAACAATGGGTTATCTGTGCTGTGCTCGACACGGGTATCAAAACCCAGTTTCTAAGTCTTGCCGCTGTACCACTGAGGGGCTCCAGAAAACAACGTTCACAATCTGGAACCATTAGTTATTTCTTGATTTCCTACCTTACTAAGGTCTCGAAATCTAAACACAACAATCATCTAAAGAAAGGTAATTATATCGATGAAAAGTGCTGGAGGTATTTGTTTGTTCCTTGCTTTTAAATGTATACTTGTGATTGCATTAAGTAGTTTATGATGGAATTTTAAAATTGAAACAATATTGAATCGGTTTATATTTTTTCAGTAGTTAAAACTAATGAGGGTGAGATATTTCCATTATACTTCAGACATTTACATACAAAAAATTCTATACAAAAATACTTTCCATAACTTTTTTCTAGAAATTCAGACTATGGTAGTAAAACTGTCATATTTTGTAACAAGAAATTAAAAACTGTTTAATTTTACTTTCATTACATGAACAACCATTCAAGTATTTCCCACATTTTCACAATTTACAGGGCATTCAGATGTATTGGTAATCCAAATAATATATTTACACATTTTTATACATCATTTACAAAAAAAAAATACAATTTCTTTATACCTAAAATAACATTTCATCTTTTTGATCATAGCTACACTATTTTCTCTATGCAATACTTGGTCATGATCACTGTGTAGTTATTCAATAATGGCTTTGTATGCTCACTATGACATACCACAGACTACTCCTGACACCGTCAAGTTATATACTTTACTACATACTTAGGCATACACTAAATTTTTTTCCTATTCTTCGCTATAAGAAAATCCAACTTGAAGCTACTAATCTCATCACACCCACATTCATACTCCATCAGTTTCTATCTAAGTTTTTCTAACTCATATTAAAAGTGTATTGAGCATCTCAAAGACAAAAGAGGTTATGTATTTTGTTGCCTGTTAAACAAAATTTTACTCACTCCAGGTGGAACTCTTGCTATGAAAACTCAAAGAGGTTTAGTGTTTAGAAAAAAAACATGGTATCTAAATGCATTATAATACACAATAAATCTTTATCAATTTGAAAGCAACTTGAAAAATAGTCTCATAAGTAGACATAGGACATGGTTTTAAATTAAGTAATTACCTAGTAGTATTCTGCTGGAGTTTGAGCACTTCCCCTAAAAACAAGCAGTCAAAATACAGTATTAATTTTCTCACATAAAAGGAATGACTTCCTGCTACTAAAAGAACAAATATATTGCAAAAGGAATATTAGGCAACTACTAAACATTGTGGGTTTTGATAATTCAAAAGTCTCTTCAGTCTGTTTTGTATGGATACAAATTTAGAACCAAAAATGTTTTGTTTACCTGAAAAAGCTTTACAGAAGCTAAATATTTATTCATTTATTTATTCACAGTGCATTCTGAACTTCCTGTATCACTTTAAAGTTTCCAAAAATGTAGTTATGATCAGAGCATTATTATATTAACACATTACTATGCAGTATTGATTAACAAATGCAATGATATTCTGTTGAAACATCCTATTTAGATTGATTCTACAAAATACAATAATAACCACAACTTTACACATCCACTCATTATTCTGACACACATACACATAAAGATGTCACTTGCTATCTAAAAATAAAATCAGCATATAAATCTGAAAAATACAGAATTACAAGTACTATTCTTTTCATATCATGCTTGTAATTACAGGTATTTATACATAATTTTTTTTTTGTATTTTAACACCATCTGGATCTGCAAATTGGGTAAATTCATGTTGGTCAGAA